AATTCATTGGGATATTGGGCTCAGTCCCTGAAGTGCCTTTCTTTAAACCCATTCACAAAGTGGCAGTCCTGAGAAGCGAGCCACATTTATGGCAAGGGCTTCTCCGGGCCCTTTTCATCAGCCCCTTCCTACCTTCTGGTGTCCCATCCCCACCCTCAGCAGAATCTGCCTTTCCAACACCATGCACCAAAGTTCCCTGGACCCTTATTTCTTTGCTTCTCCCTTTCTTCCTTTCCTCAGAGGTAGGAAACAGAAAACTAATCCAGTAACACTAATTGCTACCAACCTAATCATGACTGAGAGCATTTTGCACTTTACTCTAGTAGCCCACAAGACATGCTATGGAACCTGGCTGGTTTAAATCCTATTTTGTAAGTTATCCCACTCTGCCTTCCCACAGAACTCAGGCTAGCAGAGAGAGGTTGTCTGAAGAAAAGCATTAACTGGAAACATTGTTGATCTTGGACCATGGTGGTCTGGGTCCTCGGGTAGAGGGATTTGGAACAACATAGGCGGAGACTGGCTTTCCATAGAAACTTTAAGAGATGACAATCCAGGCAGGGGTCTAAGAGACACCACTCTTATCTGGCAGAAGATAAAAGCCCAGAGATAGGCCAGAGAAGAGTGGACCTGGAGAAGGCAGGACTTAAAACAGCTCCTAAAAGGAAGGGTAGGATTTGGAAAAGGAGATGACGAATGGCCATGGCTTCTACACAAGATGAAAAGAAACTCACATTTGCAAACTAGAAGCTACAAGTCCAGAAATGTACAATCTGCCCTTACATTGCTCCCTATTCCCCACCTGTGGTTGTAGAGAAGCATGCTGGGGGTCAAGCATCAGCCAATGTCTGACAACAGCTGACTCTGACCCATGCCGTTGGGGCTGTTTTCCTTCCTTCACTCCCTTCCCCAACTGGGAAAGCTGGAGTCCACTTAGGAATGTGTAACACTAAGTCACAAACCCTAATCTTGTGGGTAAGATGAGCCATGCTGTATTCTGGTTAAAGAGAGCCATCCCATTCACAGAGAAATGGAACTACCATCTTGGCTTGACAGTAAATAATTGCCCCACTCTTAAACCATCTAAAGACCTAAGAGCACTGAACCCCTAATTGACATTTTAAAGGTCCATAATCTAGCAGATAGCAACCAAACTAGAGTACAGTTTACCTCTTTTTTCCCTTTTTAATATTGTAAGAATATTTTTAAATATAGAAAATTTCATGTAACCTCCACCCAGAATCATCCTTAATTATCATATTTGCTTCAAGTCTTTATTTTATTTTATATTTTTTAAGTCTGACTTTTTAAAAGATTTTATTTATTTACTTTTAGAGAGAGGGGAAGGGAGGGAGAAAGAGAGGGAGAGAAACTCGTGAAAGATGCATCATTCGGTTGCCTCTCACATGCCCCCAATTGGGGACCTGGCCTGCAACACAGGCATGTGCCCTGACTGGGAATTGAACCAGCCACTTTTCAGTTGGCAGGCCTGTGCTCAGTCCACTGAGCCACACCAGCCAGGGCCAAGTCTCTATTTTAAAAAGTCACAAATAAAGTTGTTCTTTTTACCCCACAACTCCAATCCCCATAATTCTTCCATTCCTTTGCTTTTTCCTTCCTAGTTTTCTTTCTTTTTCTCCTCTCTACTTTCCTTTTCTGCTTTTTTTATTCTTTTCATATAAATTCTAAAATCTAGTGAGCTTATTATTTTTTTAAAAGAAGACTAATTTACATTGATATTTACTTCTTTAAGGCTTTTGATTACTTTTTGGGTACATATCTGGTCCTCAGTTGAAACAGGCTGCCATCCCCGAGATAAAGGCTGTGATTATTAAGTTACATGGTGCTTTTTCTTATATGATTTTTAAATTGCCCCTGAAGGCATGTCTAGAATTGTGAAGATAGTTTAAGCAACTTGCAGCATGAGGATGAATGTATGGCCTCTCAAGGTGACAACTTTGAGGAAAAACACTCAATTAGCTCTCTTAATTCTGGTTGTGTCAGCTAAAAAATAAAATCATTTTTTAAATTGTGAAATCCCATGATTTGGGCCATACATTATTATCCTTACCATACTTGGCTACAAATCTCTCTCTACTTTCAGAAATTAGATTTATTCCCAAAGGGCAGTTCTTGCCATCAAAAGGAATATTCAAAAGGATGCCTTACAGCCTCTCTAAAGAGGATGCTGCTCATTTGGCATTATAGCAGGTCAGAGTTAGAAGAGAACTTAGACATCTAATTCAGATCCTTTCTCGTATAAGTGAAGAAAAAGATGCACATAGAGAAGAAGTGTCTTGCCAGGAGTTACACAGTGAATTACTTGCAGGGCTGGGTCTAGAACCCGGTCCATTCATTGGCCCTGCTCCACTGAGATGTCTGATGCCTTGGGCCCTGGTTAGGCAGCTGCAAGTGATGCCTACGAGCAGTCCCATTATTACACAACCTACTGCTGACACTAAGTGTATTTTAATGTTTCCCACAACACACAAACTTCTTCATAGCCACCATGCCACATCATCAGTGTCAACCTTCTCAACCTTGAAACCAGAGCTGGCTTCGTGGGGGTGCAGCTTGTGCCGTTGCACAGGCTCCACATTTCAAAGGCCTCACACTCAGTTTAATGTTCTCCTGTAACCTTCTTGAAATTCTTAATTTTCTAACAAGTGGTCCCATATTTTTCTTTTGCATGGAGCCCCCCTGCAAATTAGGTAGTCTGCCTATAACTTACATCCTAGGAGACAGGAACAAGAAGGAAATTGGTCTCCTTGTTTTATTGGGAGAGAGGTAATGAAATGCCTGTAATTATCCCTGGTGAGAGGATCGGGAATTTGGCACCTATAACCCCTGACTCAGGCCACCCACTACTTCCCATTACCCCAGGCTGCTGCCCTGATTTGGATGTGTAGGACCTAAAGGTCTTTCCAGTGTGAAGTTTGGCTTCTTAAGAAAAGGTCTAGCCAATATAACTGATTAAAATAGGATGGATGGAAATCTCAGTTGTTGGCCTTGACTATGCTCACCTGGCTACCACTGGCCTGATAGCTATGAAAGGAAGCCACCCTCTAGGGCAGGAAGTTAAAGGAGACAGCCAAGGGGGAAAGGTGACAGAGGATGGAGAGGAAAGGCTCCCCTGTCTGCCACACAGAACCATGTGAGAGAGGGAGGGCCCGGCAAGAGCAGCACAGAGGTGAGTGTGGGAGTACTCCAGGATCTGCAGCCAAAATTGGAAGGAGGCAAAGGAAATCAGAGAGGTCCTGGCTTGAGAATAACTCACCACATTATCCAAGACACTGTACTGTTTAACCACCCTCTTTCTGCCTACCCGAGGCATTTATTTCTGTTCTCCTCAGCTCCAGTGCTATTCTCCTCCCTTTTTTGTTAGTTGTCTTCCTTGCAGGACCAAAAGTCATTTAAAGACAGAGACTCTGTTATTCATCTACACTGAGCATATAGTAAATTGATTCCATTGAGAGAAACATTAACTGAGGCCTTATTTTGTGCTGTGCATGATGCTAGGCACTAGCACCAGGAGGCAGAGGGACAGGGGTGGGCATGGGGAGGAATAAGGCACAGGCTTTTCTCTTCAGTCTGAAAGAGACAAGCAAATGAACATATCATCACAGTACAATGTAGTACAATGTGTTTAGGGAGGAGGAATAATTAAGTTCCCTGGAGTGGGGGATCATGGAAGGCTTCCCATGGCATTCAAAAAATATTTGTTGCTTGATTAATTATTCCAGGACAAAACTAAGTAGATAAAACATATAACCACCCTCATGCTATCCCAGAAATTATTGTCACAGATAAGCCTGAGTGAACATTAAAGAATGGGCTAGTAGCCCACTGCAACCTCCTAAGCTCAGACCAACTGCACTTATCACAGATGCATACCACCAGCTACCCAAGTGGGTGAAGGTGTGTCGAGCAGTGAGATCCTTTTGTAGCCCTTGAACATCTGGTGGGGGACATCTAGGCAACTATGAGTAAGAGGTATTTCTCCTCTGGCCCTGATCTCAGTATTTGATACAGCTTGTTTGGCAGAGAAACTGAATTACAATAAAAATTGTGTTACCTCTCCCAGGATTTGGTGTATCAGAAACAATGGCTGAAGAACCAATAGAATAACAGGCTTTGAGAGTGTTCCAGGGCAGGTAAGGGGCCCCAGGTAAAAAGAAGATACACTTGGAGAAAGTCCTATGTTTTAGTGACAAAGCAATAGGTGCTGAGAGCAAACTTTACCTTGAATTTGAGGTACAAAGAAGGAGGGAGTTGCTGCACATTCTCTTTCCTTATTGTCACTACTCAAATATAACTCTCTATTCAGCTTCTTTAAATACTTGGATGAGATGTCAAGTGGCATCCAATATTTTATTTATATCATTCTTCATTGTTTTTATTACAAAGTAAATACATGCTTGTAAAAAAATTTCAAATACAGAAGTACATGAAGAAATGTGTGTCTCTACCTCAGTCACATCCTCAATTTCACTCCTGAGAAATAATCATTATTAAATTTTAATGTGTGTCCTTCCAGGCCTTTTTTTTTTTTGCATATGTAAGCATATACACATTTGAGGGAGATTTGATATTTTTCACAAATGTGACCACATTGTTTATAGTCTTCAGTTTGCTTCAATGTTATATTTCTTAAATATATTCTTTTTAAAATTTTATACATTTTATTCAATCTTTGTATTTTTTTCCCATTACCATTTAGTCCTCTTACATTCTTCTCCCTGCATTAAATATATTCTAAATCAGCACTAGTGTGGAATGGTGTGCCCCTTCCAACGAACCCTCTTCCCCAACTCTAGAAGTGAATTTGCCTGAACAGAAAGAAACCGACAGACTCTGCTCTCATGTGCCTGTGATTCTGAGTGAGCCCCACTCAGGTTGCAGGAACATAATATGCAAAGAGAGGGTCTCCATTTTAGCTCCTAGAAGCTGAGTGGTTCCAAGCTTATAGATCCTTTCCTGTCCCACTCAGACCTCCTGAGATGGATGTCACCCACCTGCTCCTGGCCACCCTGCTGGTCTGCCTGTGCTTCCTTGCTGCCTGTAGTCACTTGGCACCTGAGGAGAAGCCCAGAGATGACAGAAACCTGAGATGCAACTCCTCCATGAACCTGCTGGATTCCCCCTCAGTCTCTATCGTGGGTAAGTCACCTGGACCGGGGCCCAGCTTCTGGGCTCTAGCCCATGAGAAGGGGCTTCAAGATGTCAAACATGCTCTCCAGGCTGATACCAGGATCCACTGCCACAGGTCAGGACTCCTTCTTGTTCATTCCATGAAATAATCCTGGAGTATTAAAGCATCTCTTGACTCATTTGTTTTGCAAAAGCCCTGCATGCCACCCATCTAAAATGCAGCTTAGCATGTTAGAGGGTCTGAGAAGCCTTGAAGTTAAGACACTTGATGAACTTGGTGTAACTTAGCATTTCTGGAATTTACTGAATCACAGCACTCCTATCAATGGTAACAAACTTTAGGAAATCCTATAGAATATAACCAAGTGGAATGAACCAGTCTGTCATCCCAGGGTTGAGAATGACTGCTCAGGGAATAAATATATCAGAGCCATTAGAGCTGACACTGGAGACCTTCTGTTTTGACTTCCTCTGGCAATAATAACAATAAACATACTGCTTGTGTGCTAGGCACTGTGAGGTGAGTACTATTTTTACTCCTATTTGACAGTTGAGGAAATTGAAGCTCAGGAAAGTTAAGTAACTAAGATGAGCTCACACAGTTCTCAACTGGCAGAGCCAGAATTCAAACCCAGGTGTTTAACTCCAGAACCTAAAATCAAAACTAATATCTCTTACTGCCTTGCCTCTCACTAGGAAAAGAGGATATTCTAGATATATCAGTGAAGTGAGTCAAGGGAAAGGGTTTGGGCACATCAACACAGATTGATCCCCTTTGATGTGCTAGATTTTCTACTTCACAAACATCCTTATTTATGCTCAAGACAACCCTACAGGGTAGGTATTATAGTAGCTTATCTGCAGATGAGAAAACAGAGTCTTACGAAGGTTAAGTAGATTGGCTAAGGCTATGCAGCTGTTATATGTCAGAGTATGGATTTAAATCAGGTCTGCCTGGCTCCAAAGGTCTGAGAAATGGAAAATAAGACTACATGAAACACAGGTCCATCCATGTATAAGACACTCCAGGTCAGCAGCCAGGATAACAAGAACCTGATGGCCTAAGTACCAATATGTGATTCATCCAGCCAACATCTCAGCTTCTCCCCCCACCCTGGGACTTCCCAGAGCCCCCTCATCTCCTCCTCCTTCACTGCAGCTCAGGGCCCCCAGAAACAACTGTCTTTGCTCTTTCTGTCTCCCTTTGAAGCACTAAACAAGAAATCCAGAAAGATCAGTATAAGAGAGGCAAAAAAGGAGAGATCTTCCAAGGTAGGCCTGGGAGTTCTCACTGTGGATGTGGGACTGGACTTAAAAGGGAAGAACCCCCACGCTTTGGCTAAGAATTAAATGATTTTCTAGGCCTACATGTACAAAACAAGCTGACAGCTACCTAAAGACTTCCTGGCCCTGGCAGGTGTGGCTCAGTTGGTTGGAGCATAGTCCTGTAACTGAAAGGTTGTGGATTCAGTTCCCAGTCAGGCACATACCTACGTTGTGGGTTCGATCCCTGGTCCTGGTGCATGTGGGAGGCAACCAATCAGGGCTTCTTCTCTCTCTCATCAGTGTTTCTTTCTCTCCCTTTCTCCTCTCTCTCTGAAAGCAATGAAAAATGTCCTCCGGTGAGGATAAAAAAATAAAATAAATAAATAAAGGCTTCCTGGCCTTGAGCCCTGAACCAGACCCTCACAGAAGCCCAAGGAACTGAAGTTTGCTGAGTAAAATAGTTTACATGCTAGAAAGCATCTCCCTATACTAGCCAACCCTACAACTTTTGTCGTATCTGTGATTCATCTATTAAGTATACTGGTTTAAAATTAAAACTTAAAAAAAATGTAACTATGATAGAAAACCAGAATCACTTGTTGCAAGTAGAAGGTAACCATAAGTTAAATGAAAACAAAACATTGTTAGTGGATTCTAGCTGAATAGTGTTTCCTGTCAAAGGCTCTAAATCTGAGGCTTGCTCTCTGTGTTAAAAGAAAGATTGGGGAGGCATTGACATACTGGCACCAAACTAGCCTTTCAATTTAGACAAGATTGAAAAAGAATCAATTCTTTCTCACTGGGATTCAGCATTATATAATATTCATGCATCATTTAAAATCATACGACTATGGCCCTGGCTGGTGTAGCTCAGTGGATTGAACTCGGGCCTGTGAACCAAAAGGTCACTGATTCTACTCCCAGTCAGGGCACATGCCTCGGTTGCAGGCCAGGTCCCCAATTGCGGGAGTGCAAGGGGCAACCACACATTGATGTTTCTCTCCCTCTCTTTCTCCTTCCTTTCCCCTCGCTCTAAAAAATAAATAAATAAAATCTTTAAAAAAAATCATACAACTATGGTACACATGCCCATACTTTGGGAAATACTGGAGTAAGGCATTGTTGAAATGCACACATTATTCCTGTCTTAGTGTGCCTCAGTTTATCAGATCAGCTGTAACCACAGCAGGGAGTTCTAGACTAGGAATTAGGAGGTAGAACCTGGCACTGTCTGTCTGATCTTGAGAAAGTCTTTGCTCCTCTCTGGGCCTTCTGTAAAGTGTACAAGCAGATCAGATGATTGACAGATAAAAGTATATAATTGACAAATATGTTTATATGCTAGATACTGGGAATATAGAAGTGAATAAAGGAGATAATATCCCTGCTCTCATGGAGTTTACATTCTTGTGGGGGAAATAGGAAGATAGCAAGTAAACCAACAAATAGGTTAACTACATTTAGATTACAATAAACACTGAAGGAATTAAAGCATGGTAGTGAGGCAGTGAAGGGAAGAGTCGTTAGGGAGGGCCTCTCCAAGGAAGCAGCAATTAAACACGAGACTGAAAATTTCAGTAGTCTTGAACAGCAACACCCAATAGAAATATAATGGGAGTCACATATGATTTTAAATGTTCTAGTAGCCACAGTTTTAAAAAAAATTTTTAAGGTTTTATTTATTTATTTTTAGAGAGGGAAGGGAGGGAGAAAGAGAGAGAGAGAGAAACATCAATGTACGGTTGCTGGGGGCTGTGGCCTAGCAACCCAGGCATGTGCCCTGACTGGGAATCGAACCTGCGACACTTTGGTTCACAGCCCATGCTCAATCCACTGAGTTACACCAGCCAGGTAGTAGCCACATTTTTTAAAAGTAAAAAGAAACACATGTAGTTAACTTAATATTATATTTGACCTAATATATCCAAAACATATCATTTTAGTATGTAGGTAATATAAGAAAGTTGAGATACTTTATATTATTTTTTCTTGTATTAAATCTTTGAAACTTAGTTCATATTTTACACTTACATTTCAGTTCTGATGCTAATTTTTACCAAAGTCAAACATAGTCCTAGAAGAACAATGAAGTGCCCTGGCTGATGTGGCTCAGTTGGCTGGAGCATCATCCTGTAAAATAAAGGCTGCGGGTTGGATTTCCAGTCAGGGCATGCCTAGGTTGCATGTTGGATCCCAGATTCCCAATTTCCCGCCCCCACACTTACACACTGGTCAGGAGGCAACCAACCGATGGATGGGCATCGATATTTCTATCCCTTTCTCCCTTCTCTCTCTAAAAAGCAATAGGGAAAAGAAATGTCCTCGGTTGAGGATTAAAAAAATTTTAGTGTTTAGCGAAAAAAAAATTTTTTACACTGCTTCAGTTTTAAATTAAAATTAAATTTGAAAATCTGGTTCTTCAGTTGAACTACACATTTCAAAGACTCATTAGCCACATACGGCTAGCGGCTACATGTGTGGGGCAGCACAACAAAGCATGTTCAAGGGCCCTGGAGCAGGAGCACCTTTTCTGTGCTTCCTACACAGAAGGGAGGCCAGTGGGGAAGTGTGGGGAAGACAGGGTTGGGTGGGTAGGGGGCAGGTAATGGAGGGGGGTCAAGGGCTAAAGTTTAAGTTTTATTCTAAGCGCAAAGAAAAACCATTGGGGGTGCTTTAAACTAGAGTGGGATGCCATCGTAGGTCTTCTGAGAGGTTCCTTTGGAGCAGTGGAGGGAGCATTGTGAAGGGGTCAGACCAGCAGACAGAACACAGTGTCCTGGAGGACCCAGGACAGCAGAAGTGAAGTGAGTGGACTCCAGATTTATTGTGAAGGCGGAACTGAGAGAGACTGCACGTACACAGGAAGGGAGAAATCAGAGATGGTACTTAAAAACTGTGGAGCTAAATGGCGTCCCCTAGTGAACGAAGAAGGCCAGGCCAGGCCAGGTTAGTTTTGATGAGGATGCAGGAGGGATGTGATTTCGGGGGTAGGCAGGGTTCCCTTGGGCTGCCTGCTAGGCAGGAGTAGAACAGGTGGAGGGCAGTGGGTGGGGATGTCTGGTCCAGGGCCTCCATAGCCCAAAGAGTTCCCATACAGAGGTGAGGACTGGTGGGACAGGAGTGGGTGACTCGGGCAGCCCAGGCATTTCCCCACAGAAAAAGGCTTCAATCAAGAAAGTGGCGCGGCCCCGGGACCCGCCGCTGGTTCCCTGCGTAGTCACCCGTGACAGCTGCAGGCAGCCGGCGCCCGCCTGCCGGGACGCTTGCGCCTCCTGCAAGTGTTGCTTCTTCCACAGCGCGGGTTCCTGCCACGTGCTCAATGCTGCTGCTGGGCGCAGCTTTCAGTTGGCGGCTCTCCGGCAACCCTGGGGACCCTAAGAGGCTGGAGATCTCTAGGAGGTGTGGCTTTTTAGAATTGGATGCAGGCGTGGCTACTAAGGTCGGGACTTAGCTTTTAGAAGGGACTTAAAGGAGATGTGGCGTGGGCCGGGCTAAAATCCAAATAACATTATATATGCAGGCTGATTGAAAGTGTGTGGCTGTTTCTTTAAAGGAACCGAAAGCTCCTTTTCCCTTCGCTGAACCCACATCAGAAGTCCGAGTGTTTGCGCAAACGTTATCTCTGGGACCTGGGGAAAATCCGATTACCCCAACCCTAAATCTGTGCTTCGTTTAAGCCATTCTCCCCATCCTACAGCTAGAGACAATGCTGCCCCCTACCTTTATACTGGGGAACACTCGAATTGCCTTCAAATCCAGGGAATGCAGGCCTCCAGAAAGAAACGAAGCATTAAGGAGCTACCATTCAGTCTTTTCACCTTTCTAAGGAGCTCCCCCTACCCACTCTCAAGACAAACAAGAAAGGCTACAGTTCCGTACACATCTCACTGGGCTGTCTGTCCTGGGGAATCTGCAGACAAAAACAGGTGGTTGTGACGGGGCGATGCCATGGGTCCCTACAGCCAGAAGGTTCTGCCTTAGGAGGCTCCCAAAGATGTCACTTGTGCCCACACCTCCCTTTCTCCCAGAGGTGCAGGGGCCTGGGAGGATTTTCTCCCACTCCCAGGCTAAACACTGACTATTGGTCCCCAAGCATTTTTAACCATGACAGCCAGGAGTTGGGGCTCCCAAGTAAAAAGCAGGGGTTCAGGAATCCTCCCTCACTCATACCCCAGCTCTGTCAGATAGTAACCTGGCAGTGGGCTTGGATCTGGTGCTCTGAAAATAAAAGAAAACCACTAAAATGGAGGCCAGAGGCCAGAAGGAGGAGCTCAAACACAGTACTATTATTAGGCAAATAATTGCCAATTACCTCAACAGAAGAATGAACAGGGAAAACTCAATTATAAGCACCAATAGGAAAGGATGTACATTGCATCTCCTGCAAGAAATCAACTACCCCAGCAACTCAGCCAATGAGAAACCATTATCTCCCTGAAATCTCACTTGTCTCCAGTGGACTTTGGTTCAAAACAACCTCTCCCAACTTCCTCTTTCTCCATAAAATAGTTCCTTTCCTTCATTTGTTGGACGTGTCTCTGTGGCGTTTGTTATAGCATGCTTGTCCTGATTTGCAACTCTACTCTTCCCAAATAAGCCTATTTTGCTAGTAAAATAACTGACTTTTACAAATTTATTTTGTTTTAAAATTTGTATTTAGTGATTTCAGAGAGAGGTAGAGAGATAGAAACATCCTTCTGTTGATCCATTTATTTGTGCATTCATTGGTTGAACCTTGTGTGTGCTGACTGGAAATGGAACCTGCAGTCTTGGCGAACCAGGACAATGAGCTAACAAATGGAGCTACCTTGCCAGGTAAAATAACTGACTTTCATTTTTAAGGTCAAAAGTGAGTAGGCAACAACCTTGGTCCTGAATTATCAGGGTCTGTCACCTAAAATGTCCCAAGCTGTTGCCTGAAGTTTCATTGTTAGAGATTCTGAGTCTTTGAGAAACTGAGTACATCACATCTTTAGAAGGACCCTAGAAAAGGGAACACCTGAAATATTGTTTGGGGGAGACAGGATAGAGGAGGAATAGAGGCGGGAGCAGGGTCTGTGAGGAAGGACCAGCTAAGGTCAAGGATCACATAGAAACTCCCAGCACCTTGAGGCACAAGGGCTGCAAATGACATCATCTGCTTGAACTGCCAGGAGGGGAAAAGCTGAGATGCCACTTGTCAGTGCACCCTGGCAGAATCATTGTAAACGATAAATGGGAAGTTGCAAACTAGTATAAAATGATTTTTTTTTAAATGTGTACAAGAAAGATTCTGAAGGCTGAGACAGAAAAATGTGGAGCAGTTGCCTCAGCCCTGATAACTACCATGTATCTCTGTCCCTGGAGGTGAGGACAGTGAAGCTCAGGGGCCAGCACAGCTGGAGTCACCTTCCCTGCCCACTTGTCCACTCACAATCTTCCACCTCTCAAATTCCTTAAACCCCTCCTTTCCAAGGACCATGAAGACCCAGGTTGTGCCTGCAGTGACACAACCTGTATGCAATAGGGGGCAAACTTCAGAACCTGGACTGGAAGAGCAGGAGCCACCTGAATAGAGTGCAAGAAAAAAGGTGGGTGTTCTGGAGTAGACTAGCAAGGCAGTTCTGTACACTGGGCAAGTCTGTTTCTCTGGCTTTCCTTTTACTTGTCTATAAAGTGGAAGTCCCTACTATTTGATTATTCCTGCTGTTCTTCTTATAAGTCTGAGAGAATGATACTTCTTGTGCCTTAACAAGAAATATGGTAGGCGGGGGTGGGAGGGGAGCTGCCAGTTGCTTGTTTTTTTATCATTTAGGCTGCATGCCCACAGGACAAGAACCTTTTGTACCCTGTACACCACAGCTACTGCTAATAAATGCCATCATTAATGAGAATACTGGGAACATATTGCAGCCACTGCTCCTGTGTTTACCCAACATTGCTCACCAACCAGGCACCATTTGACCCCCAGGGTTGAGGCCAGGGATGCAAAGCCAAAGAAAGACCCAGTCCACTAGTGATAAAACCACTTAGCTGCTGGGTCCAGATGAGTATGTGAAAGACTAACTATTTATGCATTCAGCAAATGTGTACTGAGCAACTACTGTGTGCCAGGTGCTGTGAATACTGTGGACAATTCCAATATGGATCCTCTCCTTACAGAACTTACACTCCAGTGGGCTGTGACCATTGGCCCTGGTAGAGGCTAGAACAATTGTTAGGAATGGTTTCCTTTCTGGAAAAAAAAAAAAATCCAGCCATGGCCAAGTTAGATACTACAGGACCCTCAGCCAATTCCTTCTTTCCCCATGAAGCTTTCTTTGATGGCAGAGCCCAGACATCAGGAGTCAGGGTTGGGTTGGGAGCTTAGGAGACATATCCTCTTTCATTGTGAGTACCTGGTCAGTGTCACCCATGTGACAGATTAGCAGACCCAAGATCAGAGGTAATAAGGCTGAGACCAGACTGGCAGGACACCTCCAAAGAGAAAAGGGAAAAGGGCTTGGATAATAAACCAGAATCCCTGGGGACCAGAAGTTGCGGGGGGGGGGCGCTACATGGGATCTCACAGGTGGGAACATCTGGAAAGGTGTTTCCTGCGTCTGGGTGGAGGCAGACAAGGAAAGGAAGTGTGCTAACACCCAGGCAGGGGCCCCTTAGAGGGAGCAGCGTGGCTATGATGAGAAATAAGGCATTGTTTATCTCTCTGGCTCAGATAAACAATGTCTCCCTCCCCCTTTCCCACTGAGAAGTCATCTTCCCGAACACCACCATGGTAGAGTGGCTGAGGCAGGTGCTGTGGGCAGCACTCTTTGGTGCTAGTCTTGCCTGTAGGGAACTTGTGCTCCAGTTCCAGAGTTACTGCTCCAAGTGTTGGAGGGTCTGAAACCAGGCTCCCTTCCTCCTAAACTGGGGCCTGTGGGTATAAAAAGGACTTGAGGCTGAGAGTTCTACCTAGCACAAAAGCCAGTTCACTCTCATGGTGTCTCTCAGAGCCTGCTTCCTGATTTGTAAAATAGGAATTTAAGTCCCTATAAGGTTATCGTGAAGAATAAATAAGCACCTACTTAGCACAATGCCTGGCACATAATTGTGCAAGAAATAACAGTGGGCATGGTAGTGAACCTTGATCTCTTTTGATCAGTGGTGTCATGATCAGTTAAGAAGTGGGTCCCATGTCATTTTTGACTAATAATCATTTAACCACCAAAGTTGGTAAATTATTTACAGCAGAGTCATATCATATATACATACAACTTACCATATAATCTAGGATCAGCCAGTTTGACCTTTCTGAATCTCTGTCCTCATTAGTAGCATAGGAGTAATAATACCACCTCATAGCCAAAGGCTGAGAACACAAAAATGAATAAGCCACAAGTGTGGAATGTTCAATCAAGAAGGGACATTTCGCCCTGACTGGTGTGTCTCAGTAGGTTGGGCATCATCCCACAGACCGAAAAGTCGTGGGTTTGATCCCCAGTCAGGGCACAGGCCTGGATTGACTGCCAGGTCCCTAGTTGGGGGCATGCAAGAGGCAACCAATCGATGTTTTTCTCCCCCCCTTTCCCTCTCTGTAAAAATAACATCGTTTTTAAAAAAGGACAGCTCAGGAGTCTGCAGCTCAAGGAGTAAAACCAAAGGTCTTCTCTTGATGCTTCAAACCCTCCCTTCCCGTCCCCCAGGCCACCTTTCTAGTCCTCCATCTCATAACTCCCCTAAAGCACAGCCAAACAACTCTCCTACTCCCCACCCCCTCACTCACCCCTGCTTAAGCTGTTCTGCTGCCTGGAATACCCTTGCTTTCAATTCCTTCTGTTAAATTCTCTCTCAAGATCTATTTCAAGTTCCACCTCTTCCCTGCTGCCTTTCTCTTACTGATCCTAAGACTGAGCAGATAAAGATGTACCAGTAGATGGCAAAGCTGCTTGGGTGCTTGCCCATTCCCTCTATCTTGAGATCCCAGCAGGCTGGCATCAGGTCTCAACCATCCCCATCAGGCCTTCCATCCAGCAGATGACCCTTAGAGTAGTTTCCAGTTACCGTTCCCAGGTGGGTTCTTATTTTGCTTTGATTTCCAAGACCAGAACAGGGGTTCAGTAAATGACCATTGAGACAAATAGGAGGGAACCCAACTTTCCACCCACCCTTCTGTGATTTCATTCATGCTAAGGCCTCTTATAAACTGTGTGATTTTAGGAAAGATACTTAACCTCTGTAAGTCTCCATTCTCATCTATAAGATTAGGATGTTAGTGATAAACTTGTGAGAATAAAGAAAGTCAACTACAAAGCTCCTAGCACCCAGTAGGTGCTCAATAAATAATAGTCCTGCAAAGATCAATCCAAAGTGGGTGTGGGAAGAAAAAGAATGAAGTGGGACACAAAAATTAAGGTAGA